AGAAGTTATCTCAATGGTCTCAAACATGGCAGTTGCCGATAAATACTTCCAAGTGTGTTGTGATGCATATCGGTCATCAAGGCACAGATACATACACGATGAATAACACTGAACTACATGTCGTCCAGACATATAATGACTTAGTAGTCATCGTTAGCCAAGACTTAAAGACTACTGCACACTGCCGTGCAGTAGAACCTTATGGTCAATACGTAGAGCTTTTAATCATGTCGGCGCCAAAACGTTTTTGACTTTGTATACAGTGTTCGTTCGTCCTAAACTTGAGTACTGCATACAAGCGGCTAGCCCCTACTTAAAAAAAGACAGTGAGCTTCTGGAAAAGGTTCAGAGAACGGCGACTAAGCTGATTCCCGGAATAGCAAAGCTTCCGTATGAAGTTCGACTGGCCAAGCTGAACCTTTTCCCGTTGTCATATCGCAGAACTAGAGGCGAACTGATTACAGTTTTCAAATTGCTTAGTGCCAAATTTGCACCTGATATGCCCTCATTTTTCCTGTCTTCCAAAACAGAGAATTTACGAGGACACTCAAAAAAAGTTCATAAGCCGAGAACAAATTACTTGTCAGCTAACTATCGACTTTCCCATCGAATCATCAACGAGTGAAACTCATTAACTCAGCACGTGGTTGAGGCTCCATCCATCGACTCTTTCAAAAGAAAGTTGGATCAACTGAGTGACCACCATTGCCAGGACTAACACAGGCCATCAGACCTCCTGTCCTTCCCAAACTGAAGCTTTTCCTTCCACAGTGTGGGCAACCAGGAAGTGACAACCGCTCTCATACCTCTAACAACACTCAAGACCACTGTATTCACAATCAACCTCCCCCCTTCACTACCTCTTACATGGTCTTTCAACACTAAACTTCCTCTTTCAGCTTCCTCTTCAAATGTCACCATAGCCAACAATTCTAGTGCTCAAAACACTGTCCCCGGTCTACTGAAACCTCGCTCCAAACTACACATTGGAGCCATCAACGTACGCACCCTATGTCAAATCGGTCAGCAGGCTTCCTTGGCTAAAACCCTAGAATCAGGTACCATTTATGTATGCTGTGTCTCTAGAACACACGTACACGATCCTAGTGTGGTCATTTACTTGACCTCACCTCGGGAAAACAGAGAGCCAGCAAGATACACCCTCCGCGTATCTGGTGACGCGATGGCCAGTTCTCGTGGACTGGCAGGTGTGGAGACAGCACTAAGCATGAGGACAAAATAAGCACTGTCAGAGTGGATCGCCGTTAACAGTCGTCTATGTGCTGTTCGGCAAAACGGCTCCGTAAAACTCGAAAGGATAGGGACACACGCAATTGCCATTTTGTCGTTTCTGGATAGCTAAGTGGTCATATTTATTTAGGTAATAATGTACACTTAAATTTATGATAAATTATAGAACCGTCATCTTGCCCAATTACTTTGTTTTGGTTTCAAACGGGCGAGGGCGCCTATCTAACTCATCCAGACAGCTGTCCATCAGTCCAAACCGTAGGTTGGATCTGATATATATATATATGTATATCATGACCGTGAGGCAGGCTTTGCCGTAGCCTGATGACATGCCTACTCAATTAATTTCAATCTATAGTGGCAGACCGGTTCTTGTTACCAACTACGGTTTAATTGCTTTAAAACTGCGTTAATTTTGCTAATTTAACCGAAAGAAAAGTTGAATAGATGCGTTGTGAATTGTGGATATTTGTTATTCAGCTATTATTACTAGGCTTTTCTGTACAATAGGTAATCTTGAAGTTTTTCGAACATGTTATTGGGGAAAACCGAAAGTAGTACAGAATGTCCACTAAATGAGAAAAAATATTAGGGTTCATTCGTAGAATGCAGATGGACTTGCCCGAAATGTTCCGAGGTTCTGGATAAATATTGAGGAAAGCCCAAAGTCGTTGAGGATTTCCCCAGACCTGGGGAAATTTCATGATTTTGTGCTATTTTTCCAGAATTTTCTATGGTGGCTTCCCCAGAATGGACAGAATTTTCCCTAAAATACGGAGATTGGGAAGTTTCTAGGAAGCGTGTAGAGAGTAAAGAGTCTCGTTTCCGATTGGATGATTAGTAGGGTTCCATAACATTTCAGGAGTCAAAGACCTCCCGAAATGCTATAAGTACCCTAGATTTTTCGCACATAAACTACCTTTGGAGTAAAGCGTTTTTTTTCATGTTGCGCACCTTTTCTCTCCTGTTCACGTTGTCTGTAGAGTTAGCCTGGAGTTATTAGAAGAGCTTAGGAAACAAACCCAAGCGTTCAGTCAGATGATTTATCATAACCTTAGAATCCTACTAGGTAACTTACTTCAAGCTAAACTGGCCCCTTATGCCAAAATAAAGAGGCTCACTCATGACTTACAGAGAAAACCAATAATAATAAAGTAGATTATGAAAGTAACTTTGCATTAAAAATTCACTTGTGTATCCAAACACTCAATTGCTTTACGACATTTCAGATGTCTAAGTAAACCTAAATTACCTCCGTTCTTTTAAATCTGCTCCTTTCATATAATCCTATGTTTATTTGTGGCCATATTATTTGCATTCTTTCTTCAGTTTATCATAGAAAACTTGTGTAACAGTCGATCGAACAACAGAAAATAAGTCGGACTTATCAAACCTTTATTTCCCCATTACAAATGATCAAGCCTCCTCGGTAATGTGCAATGTCTGCTCGTGTGCTTGTTCTTTTTCTTTTCTTCCTCTCTTCTTCAGTATTGTTATACAACACTGAGGATGCATATGCGGAGCATATGGATCCGTCCGACGCCTCATTAATACTTCTAATATGTTACAAATAACTAGAATTAATCAGACCGAAAGCCTATTACAGAAGTTATCTAGAGAACACTAATAGGAAGCACCAAGTGTGTTAAAAATGGCATTTTTAACTTAAATTCATGAATCTACAGCAATATTCCTCATCGTAAACAACAGAGTTAATGTCTATAAAGCTAACAATAATGGACTTTTTATTTGAAAGTCAACATAGAGTACGGGTGGACCCAAATTTGTCTAGTTGGCAAACTGCGCTTCGCTGATTGCCTCAGGGCACAGCTTTGGGGCTAGTGTTGTTCCTTTTTTATGTAAGTGACCTTCCTCGTCTAATATCATCACCGGTCTTGCTAACTGCTGATGATGTTAAGACATGGAGAGCGATAAAAGACAAAGATGATAGTTGAGAGATCAAAAATGACTCGGAGAAATTATCTGACTGGTTCAAAATTTGGCAGTTGCCGATAATTGCCTTCAAGTTCATCATAGTGCATGTTAGTCACTAAAGTACAGATACATACACGGTGAATGATAGTGAGCTTCCTGTTATCCATAGATACAATCACATAAGAATCATTGTTGGCCAAGACTTAGAAACTACTCCAACTGTTGTGCGATAGGCAGACATTTCCTTGCTAACGTATATAAGCAGTTCATAGAGTTGCATATCATTTTATTTCCTAATATTACATTGTTTTGAGAGTGTCATACGATATTCAACAATGCTAGTATAAAGGCAGCATTACAATGAACAATTACTCAAAAACAGTCGCAATGTTTGCCCTAAAAAAGGACAGCACACTTGAAGAAATTTTAAACAACTCTTCTGATGATTTAAATGTCAATAGACTACTTGATTATGCGGATACTACAAGTTCGTGTAAGCTAACATACTCAACCAACAAAGAGACCTTCAGATATGGCATATCCGCCCTGAACACAGCCACTCAAGGTCGTGGAGGCAGATTCGACCTGGTACTATTTGTTTCGGTTGTCAGATTGTCTTAACATTATGTTTGTGTTATTTCTGATGCTTGGTGATCGCTTACTCAAGCTATCTCTTTTTTCTCCCAAAGGAACCTACTTACTGTTACGAACACGTCCCAGATAAGGTATCTTTAGTCTAGACGCCAACCCACCATAGGCTGTGTTGCATAAGGTTTTCACTCGTCCCGTCGTTTGACTCAATTACGGTGGGATTAATCGACACGTGGGGCTGCAATCTAGATTGAAGATTCCATTTATCAATGATCGGCTGGGAAGTAATTTGCTATGACCTGTGAGACTTTTGATTGTCCTCGTAAATTATTCTAAAAGTCACTTTGAGTTAGAGATAGGTTAGAACATGTACATATTTTTGACAAAATGTGTGGGTTCCTTCAGTACATTGCAATGTATTTCACAAATTCCCATGGTGAGACTAATTTATGGACGACCATGAGCGACGCTAGACTGACCTTAAGAGTGTCCACCTAATATCTAGGACCAATTGAGGGTTATAAACCTGTGTAAGGAATTAAAATTATGTTTTGCAGTTGGTGATTAAGGTTAAAAATTAAATTTACGGTCCTCATTGCGAACAGACATCAGCTGTAATGCCAAAACTCTATTTAAGCAAATGGATGAGTGAGTTTCACGTTAAAATCCGAGACCTATTATTATATACCTGATTAGTTCGTCCATAAATCATCATCTCATCGCTACCATACTTTGCCAGTAAACTGTCCAATCTATGTATGAAAACAGACATTTTCGGCAATATAAAGTCATTAATAAATAGTGCCTCATACGCCTCCCTGGAGTTTCTTACGTTTTGCTAACTTTCGTGTATAAATTCTCTCAGGCCGTTTTCAGGGACTTTCGATTCACGCGTTCAACCTGTTGGGCACACACATGAGTCGACGCACCAATAAATCATGCTCTAAGTGTTATCTACTTCACGAGTAAATAGCTATCATTCCATCATCCAGTTACACTGAAGAAGGCGATCTTTAGTCAAAGTTAGTGTGTGACTTCTCACTTAGTTTGTGTGTTGTGTGAAGCTTTGAATACAACTGGTGTTGAATAGTGTTTACTAGCTATGCCTCATATTAGCTTTCTTTTGTTTTCTGCCGTTTAGACTGTCCACTTTTGGCCACAAGGTCGCATACTTTGGTCCCTGGCCGAATACCTAATAACATAAACTGACACTACACCTTGAAATGCTTTCTAAGACACTTTTGAAGAGTAATCATAGTACGTTAGTTTTTTTATATACCTTGATAAAATTTTTACTACCAGCGCGTGTTTATATTTCGACAGTTTATTTCACGTTCTTATAGGTGGTTATCTTTAATCATTAGTTTGTTCGACTGACAGTTGTAAAGTCCAATTTTGAGCATAAGATCTGTATACATTTGCTATCCCTTCATATGTTTTTCGTGCCCCAACAGCTGTCGTAAACATAATATATAAACATAATGCATACGGTCATAGTTCACTGGGATCTGTGAGAATCCACAGAACTTTAAAATCGCACCCCAAATTCATGGAAAGATTAAATGAATGTTAGAAATCGCTGCAATGGCTCCGGTCTTATACTGTCTCACAAACTACAGTTTGGAACTTCTTGAATTCACTAGGACAGTCACTTTGTTTGGGATTGAATATTTGAATCTCAAAATCTTTTTATAGAAAGTGAAGCGAACTATTGAAAATGATTGTATGAATACCACAAATTTACCTAGAACATTTGTAGTTCAAATAAACGATTTCGCAGTAGTTTACTTAAAATTAAATTCCAAGACGCTCGAATGTATTTTTGCTTGCACCTCCCTTCCCCTATATTTCACAACTCTATTTCATTATTTGTGACACATACTTACTTTGGTGCCCAGTTGTCCCGGTATCTATATCCTTACCTGTTACTCCTGGTGGGGCACAGGTCGATTACCAACAATCTCCAACCAACTCTGTTTTTAGCTCTTCGGTCCAACTGTTGTCAAGTGCTACTCGTAGTCTTGACGTCCACCCCCAGACTTCAGTGACATGTCCTTTGATCTGCCCCTTTCCTTTCGCCTTAGAGATTTCAAGTTTGTGCTTGCTTTGTGGTGCAGTTCAGTAATTTCCGTAAAGTGCGTCCTATTCGCCTCGAGCGTTTTTCTGATTTCCTCAGTTGAAAGATCGTTTCTTTACCTGGGAGTGTAGGTTGTTACTGATGATCTTTGGCTAATGGGTTGAGGTATCTTATGTAAACAGTTGTTTGTATATACCTTTAATATTTTGGTTGTGATGGTGGTAGTTTCATCTTCATACAATCGAACTGTTTTAACGCTATTATTTAGAATCCTAACTTCGGTCTTGAGTGACAGTTGTTTAGAGTTCTAGATATTCTTTGATTGTAACAATGCTTTGTTAATTCGTGCTTTGGCATTACTAGATCCTCCTCGTTTAGGAATGGATTTCACTAATCTCTGTTACGTAGGATTTTGATCTGCTCACAAATGACAAGTATACTATACGTAAACACTTCCTTGCAATCGAGGATGGGATATTTTATTTATTTATTTATTTGAACACATATATATTGGTACAAGAGTGCGCCAAACATATATGCACCACACAATTTCAGTTCATTAATTGCGTGTGGGCTGCGTTACTGCCCGGGTGCCCAGACCGAAGCAGGTGGTTATCTTAGGGGGCCACACCCCGAGCCTTTGACCTAAAGGTCTAACCCACAAGGCAGTGGAGCATCGTAAGGAGATGCAGTCCCATGGTAGCCGGTGACCGAAAATTGGTTCATACGCCATTTGTTCCCGCAGGATACTGGTGCCCATGTGCACCATTGGTTTGGAATCCGGTTAAAGCGCCGGACATTCGCTTTTCGTCCTCTCATTTTCGTAAACAACACCCCCGCCACGAGAAGGCAGTGAGTAGGATGGGATAGATAGAAGACGTGCGTAGATCAATAGTATCTAACCAAGGACTTCTCCAAAACAATGTTGGTTCATGGTGCAATAATCGAACTAGTAATACTGAGGTCAGACATAGTTTACTAAGGAAGTGTAGACTGGTTCTTTATTGACTGAAATAGTTACAACACATGTTAAAAGTTACCTTTTTTGATTTCGATATTTTCCAGTCATAAAGTGTTAATCATTTTGTTGTTCTTATTCAGAGTGTTGGGAGATATATTTTAATACATTATTGCGGTTTTAGAAACATTTTTGTTCCTCAGGAAAAATCTAATTACAAGTGGGTCTGAGAAAAACAAACAAAACAACTATTCACATCCCAGTTATTTCGAGAATCCTTTAAGTTGTCCTGATTATTTTGGTCTTAAGAACTTGGTTAATGTTACGGATTTATTCCAAGCTCGTGTTCATTTGGGTCACCGATCGGCGTTACGCAATGAATACATGAAGCCATACATATACGGTTGTAGACAAGGTGTAGACATAATTGATCTACAACAGACATGTTCCTTGATGTTTGATGCACTTAATTTCGCGGCTCACATTGCCTACCGTCAAGGAATAATACTTTTTATGTACCAGAATAAACAAGTAAGTAGATCAACTCGTCTTTTGCAACTGAAGTTTTAGTTAATAACTGAAAAAATTACCATTAAGGTTGTTGTCTTAGATAAGTTTATAAACAAATAATAATTACTATGCACTGCCAGAGGTGCAGTGCAGCTGGGATAAACGAGTGTATTGTAACATGCTGATAGAGAATGTATTGTTTTAAACGATGAAAACACTAATCTCCACTATCCGACTGCACACGTTACTTTGACACAGTAATCTGGCTTGTCTATCTTTACTAGCGAACCGAGCTATATTACATACTTTTTCGATTAGTGAGTCTATTTAGGGCAAGAATAACAAATGTGGTAGAACAACCTGAATTCACTATATTTCGAGCTATACTGTTTGGAACATATACCTGGGAGTTCTACACGTTGTTTGGGAAGCGGCTAAACTAGAAGCAGAAGACGCAAGGTCCGACGGTGAAGTCAGCTTTGCGCCACCGTTCGTATTATTTCCTCATTTGTTTCCCGTCGTCATTTTTATTAACGTATTAACGTGTGGTAAACTGGGTCGTTGCATCCTCATCCCGAACCTTCATTTGTGGTTGCTTTATCCGTATAGGCTGATCCAAAATCTGTGGCTGAATAATTCAAGCGGTGATACTTAGAAAGTTATAGTGGTATGACCTCTGTTCTTAACATCGTACTATTACATGCTTCCGGTTTCCTATTGCAGCTTATTACTTTTTGGTTCCATGTTACTAATAGCATCCGGCTCCATGCCCATCTTTTTGTTTCGGTGTGAGTTATGGCAACTTGGACCATCATATATCCCCACAACTATATTGATTATCCACTGATTTGTACTATAGTCGAAGCCACACAGCTTACTTCGTAGCAATCTACCCTATCGCTGCCCGCCTTAATCTTAACCTACTTTATCCTTTCATTGTCAGATGTTACCCTTAATTGAAAGGACTGCTGAAAATGTTGGCGAGTATTCTTACTGCCGCAAATGGGAAGGTGGAGTTTTCACAAACTCATCGGATGTTTTTCATGACTCTGTGAGGCTACCTGACTTAGTCCTTTTTCTCAGCACCTGTAATTCAATCTGCAGACCACATGCTGCTGTACGAGATGCGGCAAAGATGCTCATTCCAACAATTGGTGTAGTTGATACAAATTCGGACCCAAGATTAATTAGCTATCCTGTGCCCGGTAACGACGATAGCCCTACATCAGTACGTTTGTTCTGTGCGTTATTCGCTGAAGCTATTACAAGGGGCAAAAAGGCCGCTGCTCGAGACCAAATATTAAAGGAGCAGCTGGACCGCCAATCAGAGTCATCAAATCGCGTGGGAACATCAGCAATCCCCTAACAATAAATTACTTACTGCTCTATAAACTTGTATATGTACATATATTTATATATATTCGATTGATAAGTTATATCTCAAAGCCCATTTATTTTCATCCATTCAGTTCGCAGTAGTAGGTAGTTTCACCAAAATGGAAACGATCATTGTGTTCAAAATGAAAGAGCTCTCATACTTTGTCGATTTCTCATCCGTGCTAACTTTATGTAACGGTGACAGTGTAAGACACATGTCTGTACAACATAGTACTAATAATTACTTTAGAAATTCATCAACGCCACACTACTGGACACCCTATGAGTTCAGTTACAACTGAAAACTATATTCATCTGATCCAGTCAAAAACATTTCATTACATGTAAGAAAAACTAAGACGAACTTAGCAGCACTGAATACGATTTGATCTTTATTCAGAAAGTATATACCACTGGTTTTACGTCTACATCCAGTCACTGAACGTTTTTTTCCTTCAGTAAACCTAATTTTTCGCTTCTTCCATGATTAGATTTACCATCAATCCATTGGTAATTTCACAAATATAAGCAACGCTCCGAAAACCTTATTGATCTAATCATTTCGCCCCACTCATGTCACTTCCTTTAGGTCAGGATTTACAACACCTGGGTAGCATTGTCTTTTTATAGGACAGTCGACACTGTCTACACTACAGCTAGTGTAAGTTAGTAGAAGCCAAAATGTTTTTTTAAGCCACTAACTTAACAAAGCTGTCGAGGCTTTCAGAATGATTAGTCGTGCTTAATTATTTTCCTCCCGATAATCAGACTGGGAGAGATATGTGCGTGCATACAGATAGCATTAAGCTTATTGCATACATACAAAGTGCAAACATCTCTAAAACGTCATTGGAGAGCTTCTCACTAGCAACTGACTCTTGCTGCCTCCATATTGGTGAACGGCCGTAATGATGTGTAGTACGTCTAAGCATTCAAGTAGTCAAAACCTAGTAAGCAAGCTTAGGATAAAATGACCATAAAACGTAACTGTTTGCTTTTAGTGTGTGCTAGGAAAGGAACTTTGGAATATGAATATCCGCGCGAGTTAAGCAAATGTCCGCATAAGTCATGAATTTCTATACAGAAGTGTCAATCAGTCAGTAAGAACGTAAGACTTCGTACGTACTTACATCAGTTCGAGTTGTCATACCACATCGGCACACAGATTTTATTTATTTATTTATTTGAACACATAAATATTGGTACAATAGAGCGCCAATATATATGCGCCACACAAAACAATGGGAATTCGAAGAGAAGTAGAAAGAAGAAAAAAAAACTAAGGAACGCAAAAGAAAAAGAGAACAATGACGAAGAGATTGGAGTAAGGTAGTGTGGTAGTAACGACGGAACGAAAAGGTACAATCAGAAGAAATCTTTCAGGTAAAGGAGACACAACCACTTTTTATGAAGAAAGTAAAAGAAGGTTACAGCAGGATCGCCACTGGCTTCTATTCTGAGCCATATCTGATAACGTCTCTAGCCACTGTGTAGCACCATCTCTCGGACCCCAGCCAGGGAGTCGTGAAGGACCAACACAAGCCAGTCCTTTGCAGCTTCCTTTCATGCCACGACACCATGTCATGCACTGACCACCTCTCCGCTTCTTCCAACCAGTCCCAGAGTCGGCAAATAATGCACGACGTGGAATTCTCTGGGACGACATTCGGAGAACATGTCCAAGCCACCGAAGTCGGTGTTTCAAGATGGTGACACCAATTGAGTTATCATCTCTGTGCCCGAACACACGATGCCGAACCTCTGCATTACTGACATGGTGTTGCCACTGAATGTCAGCAATCCTTCGGAGACAGCGATGATCGAACACAGAGAGTCGTCTAACGTCCTCAACTCGGAGAGGCCAGGTTTCACAAGCATAGAGCAAAACTGCTCTCACCGACGCGTTGTAGATCCGACCTTTTACAGCCAGACCAACATCACGAAGGCGCCAAAGGTGGCCCAGATTGGCATAAGCCGCTCTGGCTTTCATTATACGTGCATTGATCTCATCACTCACAGCCCCACCATCACTCATACAGCTACCCAGATACACGAACTTCTCGACTACTTCTATCTGCTCACCATCCAGGGTGAGTACAGGATTAGAATCCTGCCAGTCTTGTAGAAGTACTTTGCACTTCGAAGGTGCAAAGCACATACCATACCTACGGACACTGATTGCCAACTGATTAAGTGCGGATTGCGGAAAAAAAGACATAAGAATCCAGATTAGAATTTAGGAGAACACTAAGAGTGGATGCACCTGCGCCATTGCAAAAGATTTCGAGCCATGTCACTTAAGGTCTCTAACCATCAATTACTATCGTCTCGCGAATCCCAACCAGGTGGTCTACACCCACCAACATGCTCAGTACACTTGTCAGTGACTTCACGGACTTCTGCCATATTTTGGTTTGGCGGCCCCTAGCTTTCTTCCAAACTACTACACCATGAATCCTCGCTCGTCGGTTGGGCGTACGTAACACGTCGTTGCGATACAAAAGTGTACGACAGTACGTACCTAGTAATTAAAGTAGGTTCAGTGAACCACTCATCAGTGGAACGATTAGCAGATATAAACGCCTGGCAATTATTCCAGACTTCTAACGACTGACCTTTTGTCAGCCCACATTTAGAGCCGACAAGCGTGATCCAACTTTTTATTGCTATCCGAATACTATTGTCACATTCTGTCTTTGGTCATACTCAGTGTCAGCCTGAGTCATACTGGTGCGGCTAGCACGCACATCGGTACCTTGAGAACGACTTACCAATACTTTTTTATTTGCCTACCCTCGTATATACCAATTTCTGTTGTCACTAGCTTCCTAAGCTCCAACTGGTAAAGTGGAGCTTGAAGCTAAGGTCGGGAATAGTACTGATTTCTATTAGCTCTGCAACTGTATACTTCCAACCTAGCCTTCAATCAAATTTTAAAACACAGCAAGCTGTGCTACTGTTATCTACCTCAAGCGTGTTAGTTTACGTGTATGGATTATTAGACTGCAACGCTATGACTTCGAGATCATACTTGAAATGCGATCGTGGTAGAAAACGGTAAATAAGTTAACAACTAGGGTCGAAAGTAGGCTCTGAATATGGGAACATAGGAATGCAATAGTTTAGTAGTTCGACGGTAAGGATGAGTAATCTGTTAGGCGGTCTCGAAATTTCCAGTATCTTCAACACGCCCATGACGACACCTTCAGTTTAATGTTTTCGACCAAACGATGAGCATTGATCATGATCTATGGATCTTCGAATGTTGATTAAATGGACCTGAATAGTCTAAACATTGGTATTGGTTTTCCAAAAGCAACCAGTTCATGAAAGTATGTCAGCAAAGATTCATCATTTATCTTGCATCGATTTCACAAAATAAACTGTCTCAATGGAAGAACAAGAGCAGGAACCGCTAAATACTTAAGGAGTCGAGTGTGTCAGAGCAACTTTACTTTCAGTGAATTAACTCACACTTGTTACGCAGGACGTTTTTCCATTTGTATGGTAAAATCAAATCACTATTTGTACAAAAACAAGTTGAAAGGTGTCGAACAAACATCTCACTATGATCACAATAAAGGCAAACATTAGTAGCATGAGTAGGGATAAGATACGAACCTTAGCACCCGTCGTTGGAAGTTACGCATTGATACAAATACGTTACAAAAATCAGTAAGTTAGGGACGCAACACTGGTGGACCGCGTGATTTATATTTCAAAACTTCCGTGGTTCTTGGACTTATTGTTGAGAAAGATAAGTACTCCTTCCTTTACATTGCACTGGCATCTATATCACCAGGTAGTTTAGTGTGGATGATGCTTATCTAATCGTTAAAATACTATCATCCCCATTTCACCTCCTAAACTACTATAGTCTCAGTGATTACTCATGTTTAGAAATCAGTCTCAGCATTTCTTGGAGATTGTGGACTGTTATTACTGGAAGTCGCGCAGAAAACATAATCACCGATCCTAGACTGCTGACGTTTAGTCACTTCAAAATAGACGTGACGAGAAACAAAAGCTAAATGTCATTTCAGCCTGCTTTTGCACCCCAACTGGACTATGCACAGAAAAACGTGAGATCGTGATTTAATATGCGGCTCGGCTAATACATTTTGAGGTGATCCTCTGACAATATTGGCAGCAATCATGCTTTAAGCGTACAAAGAATAACGGGCAGCAACCACACCAACTTGAGATCTCGCTATAAAAATCAAGTGCATGGGATAAGGCTTTATTGAATAACAGAGGATTACTCTAAACATTTGCAGGTATACAAGTTGTGAATATGCAACACGTATTCTACAAGTAGTCATCCAAAAGGTTAATACAAAAGACAAAGATTTTGGACTAAATAACACACAAAGACCAAACATCTTTTAATTCTAACTTCATAATCTACAGATCACAAATATTAAATATTGTGAATCAACCACCCCGTATGTGCAAGTATGTTATCACAAATGGCTGGAAGAAACTTAGACACATAAATGCGACCATTTTCACAGCCAGTTTTCTAGGGTTATCAATCCTGATTGGTGCCAACAACTCACCAGGTTTGCCCTCAAGGTCCATACTGTCCATTTTCTTTTGGATCTCATTAACAAATGCAGGTTTTTCACGGGGTTTGGTCAAAAGCCCGAAATATCGTGCACCAACCTATGATTAAGAAGTAATGGACGGGGTATGCGAACGTACTCTAAGCGCCATTTTGAAGGGTTCGGAATTCCGCGTCGTATTTACGCTCAAGATTTGATATAATAGAACTTATGTGCTCAACACTTCAAGTATCACTGATACTTAGATTAGCCACTTCGACAAATGAGACAAATATATTCTGTGAACTACTGATTAAAGTCAAACTATATCTCGCACAATTAATAATCTGCGTTTTAGTTTGTAATCTCTTTCTCAATTATCGAAAATCGATCTTGTTTTCTTTTCAATGTTTAAGTCGAGCAACGTAAAAGACAATTCAGGCCA